TTTTTATGAAAGAATTAGTATATCAATAATAACACCGAAATCTTGCTTTTTTGATGAGAAATGGGCTAAGGTTATTTGGAATAAATATGTCCCTTCTAAGTTGAGTGTTTTTCGATGGAGATTATCTTTGAATAAATTAGCTATTAAAGAAAATTTGTGTAAGAGAGGGATTGTTTTGTCTAGGAGAGATACTGGTTGTCCTTTATGTCACAAGGGGGAGGAACAACTTCAACATATTTTTTGTGAGTGTAGAGGGGTATGGTTAGTATGGATGAAGGTTGTGGGTTGGTGGAGTTTACAAAGTGTTTTGCCAAATAATATTTTTGGGTTGGCGGAGTCGATGATTAATGGTATTAGTGGGGGAAGGTCAACTTCAAATACAAAATATATACAAGTTTGGAAAAATTTTATTCACATGATACATGTGATATGGTATCTTGTCCACGTTACAACCAATAAGAAGTTGCCACTATAGAAATCTCTGCATTTGGTGTTATGGTGTCATGTTAAAATGTGAAATCTACGCAAAGGTTTTTGAGGTAGTTTTTTTTTTTTAACTTGTTCGAAAACCACATCACAGTAATCCTCCTTTTTTAGTATAGGGTAACGATACGTTTACCCAATTTATCCACAAACTCTGTTACATCCAACCCTTTCCGTCAATTTCCGTTAATTACGCTTAACTTTGTTATTTCTTCTTCTTCTTCTTTTTTTTCCTCTTTCTCTCCTCCATCATCGGGTTCTCTCGAGAACCCAAATCTGGTTCTCCAAAGAACCTAGGTCTAGGTTCTCCTGGAGAAGTTGCACCTTTTTCCTTTTTTCTTTTTTCTTTTTTTTTTTTCTCTCGAGTTCTCTTGGAGAACCCAGATCTGGGTTCTTCATGAGAACCCACGGGTTCTCCAAGAGGGGAGAAGAGAAGGAAGAAGAGGGGAGGAGAGGGAAAGAAGAAAAAAAAAGAAAGGAGAAGGAGGGAAAAGAAGGAAGAAGACAGTTTTGATCTTAGGTTCATGTAGATGATTAGGATGAGAATGGATTGAATAAATTGTCTCCCTAGCTTTCTTTCAATCTGAAACCATGAAAATTCAATCCACAGGAAAAATAATGCCACACACCAGCGGAATTTGTCACCAATTTCATGTGAGAAACCAAATCAGGTGGGTTCTTGTCGTGAGAACCTAGATTTGGGTTCTTCATGAGAACCCACGGGTTCTCCAAGAGGGGGAAAGAGAAGGAAGAAGAGGGGAGGAGAGGGAAAGAAGAAGAAAAAGAAAGGACGATGAGGGAAAAAAAAAAGGAAGAAGACAGTTTTGATCTTGGGTTCTTGCAAATGATTAGGATGAGAATGGAGGTGAGGAGGAAGATGGATCTGATGACGATGGAGACTAACAGAGTGTGGGAGCTAACGGAAAAAAAATGGGTGTAACGGAGTGTAGTACAGTTTAAGTGTAAGCGAATCACTGTCCTTTAGTATATTAGATCAAACTATACAAGAGATGATAATTCTTTTTTCTTATTCTCTCTTCCCATCTGTTTTAAGGATTTAAATCTAAAATATTTAATTTAAAATCTCAAGTTTGTAATTGCTCTAAACACCTTAGAGCATCATAGGAATCCTCCTAACGCAACATACTTTCTCCAAATTTTGAGGAAGGAGTTCTGCCAAAACTGATGTTCCAGAGCTAAATTAATCACACTGCTAGCTAATACAATACATGATCACGTGACCTCTATATGATCAACAAATAATTAAGAATAACAAAAAAAAAATTCTAAAAAATTGCTAGAGAATCATATTGAAAAGGATAATAATTGGTATACCCTCCAATTCAACACACATCAATTTAGTCATTTAAAAATTAATATTTTCAAATTTGAATTCAAGATAGGAAAATTTTTAAAGGCAATTTTTAATGACTAAATCAATGGGTGTTATTAGGTGTGTTGAATCGGAGGATATACCAATTATTTTCCTATTGAAAAACAAACAATTTATTTTAGGGTAGTGATATAGGGATAACCTTTTGATATTACTTTTTTGGACATTGATTCGTGCACCCAATTTATTCACACCCTCTGTTACACACACTTCAATTTTCATTATTTCTGTTAATTACACTTAACTCCATTACCATCCTCACATTATCTTCTTCCTCTTTCTTTCTTCTTCTTTTCTTTTTTTCTCTCTCTTGGTCTGGGCCAGATCGGGTTCTCCAGGAGAACCCAGGTCTGGTTCTTCAGGAGAACTTAGGGTGGGTTCTCGGAGAACCTAATCTAGGTTCTCGGAGAACCTAATCTAGGTTCTCCTGAAGAACCCAAGGTGGATTCTCGGAGAACCCGACTTGGGTTCTCCGAGAACCTAGACCGAGAGAGAGAGAGAGAGAGAAAAGAAATCGATGAAGAAGATGGTAACGGAGTTAAGTGTAATTAACAAAAATAATGGAAATTGAAGTGTGTGTAACGAAGGGTGTTAATAAATTGGGTAAGCCTATCATTTCCCTACTTTTTTATACAACTTTCACATGTTATTAAATGAGTAAA